AGTGATGTGAAGCAATCAAAGCTTCAAATGGTCCTGTCTGAGTTTGAAGCTCTTAGAATGAACGAAGAGGAAACAATCTCAGTCTTTCACAGTCGTGTTCAGAATCTGATGAACAATGCATCAATACTCGGCGAACCATTCACTGATGAAAGAGTAGTAAAAAAGATCCTTCGATCTTTGCCAAAACGATTCCAAATGAAAGTAACTGCAATTCAGGAACACACAGGCTAGGAAAAGAAGAGTGTGGGAGAGCTTATGGGAAGCTTACACACATATGAACTTGAAGTGCTGGCTGATGATGATCTTGCTGTCAACAGAAAAGGCAAGTCAGTGGTTTTTGTTGCTGATGCTGATCGAGAATCAGACACAGATGACATAGATGATGAAGCCTTGGCCTTACTAACCAAGAACTTTAAGAAGATCTTGAAAGGCTTTAATAGAAGGAGTCAAGGACAACCTAACAAGACTCAATACAAAGGTAGTAACTCCTCATATCAGAAAACAGACACACCCTCTTTCACACAGAACAATCAGTCTCAAACTGGCCGACCAAGACAACCCCGAAGCAGTTCGACTGACACAGGCAGGTCCCTCAACCGGTCAGTGCAGTGTCGAGAGTGTGAAGGATTTGGACACATACAGGCTGAATGTGCAACTTATCTCAAAAGAAAAAAGGCTATGTCTGTGGCTACACTAAGTAATGATGAGGAAGAAGCATTTAATGGTCAGTCAGATGATAACGTGGGAAACTTTGTGGCTTTCTTTTCAGCTACAGAAAACCAGTCCGAAGGAAATGAATCTGATGAAGAGTCTTATATTTCGACAGATGATTTTGAAGAGAGGCATACCCAACTTGAGATGGAATTTGCTAAACTTGTTGCAAGCTGGGAGCAACTGGTAAAAGTTAATAAAAATCTTAATGAAACTAAAGCAACGGGATGATCTTCTGAAGAAACTGAACACAGAACTTGTCACAAAAGAAAATCTTATAACTCAGATAAGGTCTCGAGAAGGAAAGCTGATAAAAGAGTTGGAGGATCTGAAGAAGAACATACAGATGATGGACACCACATCAACTCTAGACAAAATTCTGGATTCTGGACGAAATCCAAATGACAAAAAGGGTCTTGGTTATAAACAAGGAGAGTCTTTGAAAACTATCCCTGTGTTTGTCAAATAGGGTACGTCAATTGATACACCAGCTCGCAGGTATGAGATAGGACAGTCATCCCGGTCAGTCCAGATAAAGGAGAAAGGGAAGACACATGCAGAAACTGATTTTGGCAGTGGCATTTCAATCACAGTACTCAAAGTTCAAAGCTAAATTTGCTAGAATCAGACAATATACACCCATCTGTCACTACTGTCAAACAAAAGGTCACACTCGACCTGAGTGTTATTTCTTTTATAGAGACCAAAGGAAGGAGAAATATCAGAATAAGACTATTGCACCATTCACAAGACAAGTTTGGGTTAGGAAGTCAGAAGTAATATGCTACCCCACTATAGTTCTGACCGCCTCTACAACTAAAGCAACATGGTACTTCGACAGTGGGTGCTCCAGACATATTACAGGAAATGTCAAGTGTCTTATGGCTGTTCAACCTAGCACTGGATCAGTTACATATGGAGACGGACAAAAAGGGAAAATAGTTGGAAAAGGTACCCTAAATGTACCAGGCTTACCCCATCTAGAAGAAGTTCTATTAGTCAGTGGTCTGAAAGCAAATCTTATTAGCATCAGTCAGTTGTGTGATCAAAACTGGAATGCGTGCTTCAATCGTAACTGTTGCAGAGTCAGGGATAAAGCAGATCAACTAGTAATGGAAGGAACACGATCCTCGGATAACTGTTTTGTACTGAATAATGAAAATGCTTATCGCCTATCAAAATCAGATGAATCAAAACTCTGGCATAGACGACTGGGTCATATAAACTACAGAGACATGGATAAGATGATCAAAATGGATGTTGTGCGAGGGATACCTAAGATCAAAATAGAAAAAGAAGGGGTTTGTGGTGCATGTGCCATTGGGAAATAAATAAGAACTCCTCACAAAGCAGTAAAAGTTATTATTACCGAGAGATGCCTAGAACTGGTTCATATAGACCTTATGGGACCTACACAAACTGAAAGTATTGGTGGAAAGAAATACATATTTGTGTGTGTAGATGACTTCTCTCGATTCAGCTGGGTATGCTTCCTAAGAGAAAAATCTGAAACCTTCAATGCTTTTAGAGCCTTGTGCATAAGGGTTCAAAAAGAAAAGAACGAGCCTATAATAAAAATTCAGAGACTAAGAAGTGATCATGGTAAAGAGTTTGAAAACTCTTTGTATTCAGATTTCTACTCCGAGAATGGTATAGTCCATGAATTCTCAGCTCCCAGAACAGCTCAACAGAATGGTGTGGTGGAAAGAAAGAATCGAACCTTACAGGAAATGGCTAGAGTTATGCTACATGCATCTCATCTACCACAACGTTTCTGGGCTGAGACAGTACACACTGCATGTCATACAGTGAATAGAGTCTACCTGAGGACAGGTACGTCCAAAACGCCATATGAGATCTGGAAGGAGAAGAAGCCGAACTTGAAGTATTTTCATGTGTTTGGGACAAAGTGTTATGTGCTGATCGATAGGGAACAAAGGGGGAAGTTTGAACCTAAGAGTGATGAGGGCATCTTCCTGTGATATTCTCCAAACAGTCGAGCCTATCGAGTCTATAACAAAAGAACTCAATCTATAATGGAATCAGTAAATGTTGTTATAGATGACTACCCTGACGATTCTGTAGAAACATCAGTGACTGAAACAGAGACAGAACCTCTTCTGAGTGAGTTAGACACAACTGAGGACACCAGATCCAAAACCCAAGATTCATCATATGAAGATCAACAAAGTTCTGAACAAGAGACGTCTCTCGTCGATAATGTGGGGAAGAACAAGCCCACCAGAACACAGAAAAATCATCATTCAGACAACATTATTGGCGATCCAACAGATGGGATGAATACCAGAAGCCGAATGAGAAACAATTTGATAGAAATATCCGGATCAGCCTGCTATACCTCAAAAATAGAACCCAAAAATGTAAAAGAAGCGTTATAGGATGATCTGTGGATCAAGGCTATGCAAGAGGAGCTGCACCAGTTTGACCGGAATCATGTCTGGGATCTGGTTCCAAGACCTGATCGTGTCAACATAATCTGAACAAAGTGGATCTTCAAAAATAAAACTGATGAAGCTGGAAATATTGCAAGGAACAAAGCTCGATTAGTTGCTCAAGGATACACTCAAATAGAGGGAATTGACTATGATGAGACGTTTGCTCCTGTGGCAAGGTTAGAGTCGATCAGAATTTTGTTGGCAGTCGCATGTATTATGGGATTCACACTGTTTCAGATGGATTTTAAGACAGCGTTTTTGAATGGGTACCTGCATGAAGATATCTATGTGGCACAACCGAAAGGATTTGAAGATCCAGATCATCCATCCCATGTCTACAAGCTCAGAAAAGCCCTCTAGGGTCTCAAACAAGCTCCAAGGGCATGATACGAACGACTTACACAGTATCTGCTACACCATGGGTATAAGCGAGGAAGTGTTGACAAAACTCTATTCGTAAAAACCACTGGAAGTCATGTTACCATTGCTCAGATTTATGTGGATGACTTTGTTTTCGGCTCTACTTTACAAAAGTACACTGATGATCTTGTAAAGGTCATGAAGGAAGAATTTGAAATGTCCATGGTTGGCCAACTGACTTATTTCCTAGGGCTGCAAGTTTAAACAAAGTTCTGAAGGGTACTTTATCTCACAAGAAAAGTATGCTAAGAATTTGGTCAAGAAGTTTGATTTGGAGTCGTGTAAACCATCCAGGACACCTATTTCTACCTCCACGAAAGTATCAAAAGATGACACTGGTGCATCGGTGGATAACACAGTCTACCGAAGTCTGATAGGAAGTCTGCTGTACTTAACCGCTAGTCGGCCAAACATAATGTTCAGCGTTGGAATATGTGCAACGTATCAATCTGATCCAAAAGAATCACACCTGATAGCTGCTAAACGAATTTTGAAATATATAAAAGGAACAATTCAATATGGGCTATGGTACTCCAAGGACAGTGAACTTAGTTTGGTTGCATAATGTGATGCTGATTGGGCAGGAAATATTGATGACAGAAAGAGTACTTCAGGTGGATGCTTCTTTGTAGGTAAGAACTTGGTATCGTGGTTGAGCAAGAAACAGAATTCAATTTCCTTAAGTACTGCGGAGACAGAATATATAGCCGCTGGCGGATGTTGCACTCAGTTGGTTTGGATGAAACAGATGCTTCTGGACTATGGGCTTACTCAAAGAATTATGACACTCTACTGTGATAATGTCAGTGCAATCAATATCTCGAAGAATCCAGTTCAACATTCTAGAACGAAGCATATTGATATAAGGCATCACTACATCAGAGAATTGGTAGAGTCTAAGGAGATAGAGTTGGAATACATTCAAACAGATAAACAATTGGCTGACATTCTGACTAAGCCCCTGGATGCAAATTGATTTGAGATTCTCAGATCCGCTCTGGGAATCTGCAGGATTGACTAATAAGGCAGTAAGTTACACAGAAGGAGAGTACATGGTGTTATATTTACGGGTCAAATTTCAGCCTTTGACTTCCTTTTAAAACTCCCTTCTGTTTTGTTAAGAGTATATCTTAACCTAAGTTACCATAAAGTAATTAGCCTTTTTCGAATTTCAAATCTGCAACTCTTCTGTTTCATTCCTAAAAAGGAGGTATACCGTTGCGTCAATCACATCAGCTCTGCATGTAATCTGACAAGCCGCATAAAATAAGGTTCTTCTCCCTTGGGATTATATATGATTATCGGGTCAAGCTTGAAAGGAAGAAGAGTTCAAAAATATCTCTGCTCACTGATTATTTTCTCTCTACTCTTCTACCTAGGGTTTACCTTCTTGCATACCCAAATTGCATATCAATGGCAGACGCTGTGCGAAATATCATCATGAAGCTTGGGAGAAAGGTCCATTCACTAGAAACAGCCACTAAGCATGTAAAAACGCTGCTCCAGTTAGCTATGAAGAAGAAATTGAAGCTTGACTCTGATCTACACGATGAAATCATGGTCACTGTGCTCTCGGATTATCCAGAGTTCTATGCAGATTGGTCCGAGGATGACACCAGTGAGCTTTTGATGCTGGCCTCCGAGGTGAGTGATGAGGTTTGCCCTACATCTATCCCAGAGCCTGCAGATGGGAATCGTGCTGTGGCATTCCTTCAGTATTTTGCTCAACGGGCACTTGAATCCGAAGAGGTCTCACGTCGTCGAGCAGCAGCTCAACCCCGCTACCTACAAGCTGCCCAGGACGAAGCCACACGCCGGATTGAGTTTCTTCCTAACAGGTCCAATACCTCCGAATCTCCTATTGAAATCTCTCTTGATAAGCCTGATGATTTAGTCTCTGATGTTATTCCGTCTGCTTTGCCTATTGTTGAAACTGATAATGTGAATGCTTTATTATTTGTGAGATCCTCTGTGCCTGATGATGTTGTTGTTGAAAATCTTATCCTCTGAAAGATGTTGTTGATGACGTTTCTGATAAGAAAGATAAATCCTCCGATTTGGCCAACGATCTTAGTTTGGTTGTTTACTCTGCTGAAAAAGTTACTATGCCCTCTATTGAAATTGTTGTGTCCCCAAGAGAAATCTGTCCGTCTGAGAATCCCTCTAGCTTGCCCACTGAAATTGAGGCTGCCGGTATCTCAAATCCCCATGCATCTGATCAAATAGATGGGGTGCCAGTCTACACTTCTTCATCATTGGCTGAGAGCTTTGAACATATCCGGCACTTTGCAAGTTTACCCACTGCCTCTATTCCAGAACCGTATCATGTTATTCATCCTTCTGAGTCCTCAAGTGAAGATGAAAAGATTCTTGCTGAAGTTTATGGTCCACAAGCCCATTTGTCTAAACCCCCTTCGGTTGAGGCTACTGCGCATCATGACTCAACCCCCTTCAAGATTCGAGAAGTTACCAGTCTTCTTGGAAGTTCTTCTGTCCAAGTTTCTAAGACAAGTCACTCTATGTATCCAAGCCCTTCTGCTCATTCCCCATCCAAAGAGACGAGAAAATCCAAACGAAAGAGTGTCCCTGTGAAAGTGGTTGTGGAATCTGGTGATGACAATCTTGATGTGGCTCAACCTGAGAAGAGGAGAAAGTCTGGTTAGTTAGTCAAAACTGAAGCTAATCCTCCTGTTCAACAAGTGTTCAAAACCCTGCGGTCATCCGTCAAGCAAAAAGGTCCTGTTGTGGTTCCCACATCTTCTACCCGGAATGGGAAACAAATTACTCGCTCCAGAGGACGAAGTATTACGCCTGAGGTTCAACCTACTGCTGAGAATCCTGACACATCTATCTATAGACCTCAGTTTGTCTCCTCTACTGCCCAAGGAAAATGGTCCACAATGATCCGGAGAGATCTTATTGTTCAGCGGTCTGTTGATGAACACTAGTTGAACTTTGTTTGCGACATCTTGCCTTTGCTGAATGAAGTGGGCCTGTTGAAGACTGTCTCCTCCATTTGTCCTTATTTGAAGCTTCTGACTTACGAGTTCTACTGTAATCTCAATGAGGAGATTGACAATTTGTCCGGGACGCGACCAATGCAAATCTTCATTCGCGGAAAATGGTATGTCTTCGGCCCTGACATGATAAATGAGTATTATGGTTTGAAAGGTGTGCACAAAGAAGAAATCACAGACTGGGATTTGGTGGCAAAGACCCTCACAGGTGGACAAACTGATACATGGCCTACGGGTGAAAAAGATTATTTGTCTAGCTCACAACTCACCTCCAAATATGTCATCTTGCACCGTCTTGCACTTCACAATTGGCTTCCATCAGCTCACTTTCATACGGTCGGCAAGCAATTGGCAGCTCTCTTGTTTCGGATTGGGACAAAGATGCCTATTGATCTAGGGTCCTGGATCTATTATCATATCCTCACTTTGATCCATCCTCGAGAGCCGAAGGTACGGTTGCCATTCCCTAATTTGATATTTGGGGTTCTAACATCGCAGGGCCTTGAGCCAATGCCTAGTGAGGTGATTAGTCCGACTCTTCTTTATACTGTTGATCCTCGTCTTCTGACTGGAGGTAACATCCGAGACGTTACACCGGTGATTGCTCCTTCCACTTCTGATGCTGATACGTTGGCTGATGTTTCGCCACATGCGAAAGATGTCCAACTCTCTCTTCATCTAAAAGCCCGGGTATCTGAACTTGAGACTGTTCATGGAATCATTGCGAAGCAGCTGACAGGGGCCCGTACTGAATTGGCTACTGTTCTTTTCCGCTTGAGCTTCATGGAATCTGCTGCTGCCGATGCTGCTTAGTCTGACAGTGAGAACCCCTCCAATGCTTGACCGTGCTTTGACTATCATTGGCAAAAAGGGGGAGTGTGGAACTCAGGGGGAGTTTTGTTGATGTTTTTGTACCTTCTGGCCCTGTCTAGGCGACTGATTGTGATGGCACCACCTTATGAAGAATGTTGTTCTGTTCCAGCATAACTTGTATGTTGTTTTTTTGTTATGCTTTGTAATCAGATATTTGGTTTTCTATGCATTTCTATCTTAGTCCTATCTAGTTTGTGTTTTTATAAGTAGTCGAGTTGTTTTGCCAAATAATAGCCAAAGGGGGAGTTTGTTAGTGTTTTAATTCGCTCAAAAAAACCCCAACATATAATTGGCAATATTATTATGGCAAATTAAGATAGGGTTAGCTTGGTGTCGGTTTGTTCTACAGAGGACTGATTGATCAGATACAGCAACAGAGGGACTGACACTGAAGATATGTTTTAAGAAGATGTTTCCGTTTTACAAAACGCGGTTTAAGAAGTCAGTTTTTTGGAAAGAAGATCAGCGTATCAGTCTTGGAAAGGTATGAACCAGATCTTTAAGATTACATTCTTCTTATATCGTCCTACCATCTACAATCAGAGATATCTATGGAGAGTGTTCTGATTATGGAACTATAAGTACTCTTATTCGATCAAGAATTAGGGTTACGCTTTTGAGAAGAAAGAAACACTCAGACATATACTAAGAGATTACATCTTTGATTATCATGACTCTTCTCAAGACAATTTGTTGATTATGTTGAAGAACTTGAGAAGAGATATCGTTGCTTAAACGAAAAGGACGCTAAGATCACACAGTTGTAGGAACAACGTTGGACTGCGTCATTGAAGTGGACTGCATCAGAGTTAGCTCTCCAAGTGAAGGGATTTCATTGGACTTCTGTATGCACGGCCCTCCATCTTCAACAATCTACTAAATCAGTGTAGACTGGGTACGTACCTTGTGTGGGGCACTTGGGTGAGATTACTATTCTCTACCTTTGTACGTTGGATGTTTTGTTAGTGGATTGGACGCCTATGTGATCGTCCCCCAGATGTAGATACACACTGTATCGAACTGGGTAAACTTCTTGTGTGTTGTTCTTTTCGCTGTCTGCCTTAGTTTATTCTTTCCGCAAGCTAATTAGTGTTCCAGCTATCTGACTGATATCATCGCAGAATCTGTCAGACTATTTTGTCAATCATTTAATTAATATCATTAAATTGAGAGAATGCAAAATTACAGTGCTCATGGTTGACTAAGGAATTAGTCAACCTTTAGTCCCTTGACTATTAAATTTCAAGATTTAGGAAAGGAATTCATCAAGGAAATTAGGATTAATTCTTCAATTAATCCTAACTAAGGAGTCGGATTTTTGGGGTGTCACAGGATTTCCACCCCACGCACCGATCCACGCGCGTGGATTGGTCACTTATACTCTTTCCCGCTTTTTTCCCACACGCGTGGAATTGGTGCTTGGATCTCTCTATTTTGCCTCCACATACGGTCCCACACATGTGTGGATCTTTATGTTTTGCTTCCACGCCGGCCGGCTCCCACGTGCGTTGATTGCTCCAGCACGACTCTGACTTTTGCCTTATCCTTGTGATGCTCCTTTCGTGCTCCCAAACCTCCGTTTTGCTCTAAAAACCTTCCTAAATCATAGAAACGCAAAGCAACATGGTGTTTTTTGGCACATTAGCAAATATAAGCGTAAGCAACCATAAATCACGTACAAAGGGTATCAATCAAGCATAAAATGCCCTCTTTAAGACCCCAAAATATGTGTCTTTTGGCACTTATCAATAACATTAGCTGATTGTAGAAAGGTGTTTGGTAAATTAGTTGTTAGGTGATAGCTGTTTGGTATAATTTCTTTTCTCAAAAAGTTAATTGAAAAAGTTGCTTTGGGTAGCTTTTTGAATTTTAGCATTTTGGAGTTACAACAAGCTAATTAACCAAACACTTATATATTGATTTTTTAACCAATTAAAGAGCTAATAGTGGTCAAATAAGCCAAAATTGGCCTATAGGCTAACTATTTTACCAAACAGAGCAGTGTAAAAAGAAGACAATGAATAATCTAGTGAATATAATTAATTAGTGAATTTGAAGATAATGAATCTTTGCATTGTAGAAAATAAAGGCATTGTAAAATTTTAATTCTAAATTAAAGAAATGCATATGACTTAATTTTTTGTTGTCGCTACTAATTTATTTAATTTAATAAGAGTAATAGAGTAGGGTACTTATTTTTCAATAATATACTCTAACATATTCGTATTATATGTTCAACAATTATGCAAACTCTGATAGGGATGAGGTTCGAACCTAAAACCTTTCTTATAGAAATTAGAGAAAATGACACTTTTTCTCCCTGAGTTATATACTTATAGCATTTTTTCCCCCTGAATTATTCAAGTAGCTATTTTTCCCCCTGAAATGTTAAATAGACATATTTACCCTTAAAATAAATATTTCATTTATTTTTCTTCTCCAACAAATTATTACCACAATTTGGTTCAAACCAAACAAACACTATAGCAACCAATTACCGAAATATTCTAATTACAATTTAGAATCGAAACCCAATATTTAGAGTTTATTAAAATTGCGAACCGGGACGGCCGGTTCATGTTTCGAACTGAAAAAAATAAATACATTTATTGTTGAATTTAGACTATTTTAAAATAAAGAATAAAAATTTAAAATAAAGACGGTTCAAAATCGCGAACCGGATCCAGAATCGCCAGTTGACGGTTCAGGATCTAGTTTTTTCGATTCATAATTTTAATAAACTGAAATCCAAATATTGAGTTCTGGATCTGAATCATAACCGGAAACTTTTAATTCGATTGCTATAGCGTCTGGTTCAATTCGAATCGAACCGTGGTTATCCCTACGTATACGCAATAATTTGTTGGAGAAGAAAAATAAATAAAATGTTTATTTTAAGGGTAGAAATGTCAATTTAATATATTAAGGGGAAAAATCACCACTTTTAGAATAATTGAGGGGACTAATGTGCTTACCTAAATAATTGAGGGGGAAAAAGTGCTATAAGTATATAACTCCGGGGGAAAAAGTGTCATTTTCCCTAGAAATTAATAGGTAACTTAAAAGTTAACAAGCTTTAGGGTCTAGCAGTGCCCCCGAGGTGAAGAATTTTGTTTGGCGTTGTGTTCATGGCATCATTCCTGTCCGATCGCAGTTGAAGTATAGAGGAGTTGATGTGGAAGATGTGTGTCCGCTGTGCTTGGCTGGCCAAGAGACCATAAGCCATGTTTTATTTCATTGTCCAAGGGTTGCACCTTTTTGGAATGCTCAGACTATGCAGACATGTATTCGTCATGGCGAGTCCACGGATATGATTTTTGAACGTTTCCTGAAAGTTGTGGATGATGATGGTGTTGGGGTGCAAGCTCTATTTTTGGCCTGGAATATATGGAAACGTAGGAATGAGTTGATTTGGAGCAACATTGTTTGAGATCCTGGTGAGGTGTGGACATCTACTATGAGTCCGCTTGCTACATGGAAACAAATGAAATCTTCTCGCCATAGGAGTACTGGCCAAACTGGTGTCTCAGGATCTATTTTAAATTAGGCTGTGTCTTTTCTTTATCTGCTATGTTGCTTTGATTCTTTAGATTGTGGGTTTGTCAGCGAACCTGGTAACTATGTTGTATCATATGTTACGGGCTCTCAGTCTGGCTTAGGGTGGTAGCAATCTTGCTATTTCCTTGTATCTGATCTGTCTTGTGAGTTTATCTCCTTGCTTAATAATATTCATCTTTTAGTCACAAAAAAAATAAAAAAAATATAAAAAATAAAAAAACTTAAAAGTTAATGGAATATACCGTTATTAAAGTTTATACTAATGTCATGTGGGTTATTTAAGGGAAGAAAAATAATATAATAGAAGTAAAGAAGGAAAATAAAAAATAAAGATACTAAAATCAAAAGAATCTGAAGTATAATTTTATCAAATAATTTGACGGATATTTTTTAGTTTCACTTATAAGATTAACTTATTGATTCTTATTAGTATAGTAGATATTTCTTCCCCTATCTTGAAACAAAATTACATCAAATTTCGCTTCCTTTCTTATGTTTGATACGATAACATATGTAGTTCAATTCATTTATGATCTTCAATTCTTGTACAAAATTTTGAAGGTAGCACTGTCCTGACAACAACTGAGCTTCAATTCTTGCACTTCTTGTATTGAGTTAAGATCAGAAACTAATCTGTAGCCACAAACAATTTATGAAATATATCTACAAAATAAAAACATTAGTATAGCTTACATCTGTACAAACCATTTTCAAGCATTTTGATGCGAAATGGAGAAAATGGAATATTTCATAGTATTCTACGGCATAGGTTGTATGTACTGAACAGAGGTGCAAAATTGTTGCTATAAAAGTAGAGCTTGCACACTAGCCACACATTCACCATGGTTGAAAAAATCGCTAGCGCTCCTCGGACTCTTGGGGGCGCCTAGTATAGGCCGCGATTAATCGGCGCCTAGGCGCCCGTGTATTTTTTTTATTTTATTTAATATTTTTTAAAACATTTATTTTAAATTTTTTTAATATTTTAATTATATATTATTTAATACTTTAATAGTTAATACTATAATATTAAATAGTAACCTAAAAAACATCTAGAGTTTGAACAATTTAGTGTTATTTGGATCAAAACGATGTTGTTTAGAGTGAAATAACTCATTTATAAAAGAAAGTGAACAATAGCTAATCGGCCTACTAGGAGCTTAATCAGTGCCTAGGAGGCCTAGTCGATGATTAAGAGGCCCATGTGGCGCTTAGGCGGTCTAGCCGGCCAGCCGCCTAGACCACAGTTTATAGTGATACGCTAGACACCGATTAATCAGTGCCTAGGTAAGATTTTTGCAACACTGACATTCACACACTTGATACACATTACGAGAGTATTTTGGATGTTAAGGAGAATCTATGCCTTGTCTTCTTGTTTG